TTGGCTGAATTTTTTTGTGGATAAACTAGACTTGATGGAGAACATGTCATAAAAATTTCATTGAAAAATTCCACCCGGAAGGCGGCCAAACGCCGCCGTCCGGACGGCGGTTCCGGTCAGGAATTCCTGACCGGAAGAGTACTCTCACTTATACATTAGGTATGTATTAATTTGTATCTTTTTAATCAAAGAATTAAAACTAATCACGTTAAATATATATATATATATATTAGTTTGTATTTTTATTTGAAGTATTATAACTAATCTCTTTATATATTAGTGTGTGTATATATACTAATAAGAAATTTTAAACGGGTCCGGGTCCTTAACGGGTCGGAATCATATGTACCATATCCGACCCGTTTATTAAAAGTACTAACGGGTCCGGGTTCGGGTCCGAGTAAACGGAATAAAATAAGGACCCATACCCGTTAAAAACAACCGGGTCCGGGTCGGGTCCGGGTCTAGACCCGACCCATTGACAGGCCTATACGCATGAGAGAAAGTTTTGTCACTCATGTATTAGAAAGCTTATTTTCTTATCTCATTATACCTAAAACCACTACATGCGATAAAAGACATATTCTTAGAGTTTGTTTGGTAACACTAAAATTGGCTGAATGGACTGATTTTGATTAAACTTATCAAGTTCTGTTTGAAATGGCTGGATTGACTGATGATTCTGCTAAATTATTAAAACACATTAAAAAAATAATTTATTAACAAAATAAATAAAAAATAGGTAAAATGATTATCTACAACAACTTTAAGCAATTGAGACAGAAAAGTAACTTCAGACTTCTTAGTTTGATTATTACACAAATCAGCGCGTGAAATCAAAAGTTATGTGTTTGGTGAAAAATTTGATGTATAAGGTTGATAAGATGAAAAATAGGATCATCAAACAGACTTTTAGACTTAGGTGCGGAGCTGGGCCTACAAATTAGGCAGCTAGAAAAATGAAGACTCTTAGAGCCTGTTTGGTAACACTGAAATTGGTTGGATTGGCTGATTCTGAAGACTCAATTTTAAAATTAAATATTATTCTAATAAAGTGAGTTCAATAAGTGAATGACATAAAGTTATGTTGAATACAATAATAAATATTAAAATTAACGAATATTAGTTAAATAAAAACTTGGTACTCGTTAGTTAAATTACAGCTAACCTATGAGAGAGAAAATTGACATACTCAATTGTTAGCCAGTTTATCTTATAACTACATATGAGAAAGAAAGTTTTTCTGTTCAATTGTTAGCCGAAGTATCATCATCGTCATCATATACTTAAAAGAACTACGCATGAGAAAAAGTTTTGTCACTCATGTATTAGAAAGCTTATTTTCTTACTACGTATCTCATTATACCTAAAACCACTACATGCGATAAAGAAAACTGTCTCGTTCAATTGTTAACCGGATTATCTTATACCTAGGATCACTACATATGAGAGAGAAAATTATCCAATTCAATTGTTAGCAAGCTTATCTTCTACTCCGTAGTACTTAGATATGATATCCATATATGATATTTGTCATTCACCTCAGATTATTTTAAAAAATAGGGATAAGGGTCAGATAGGGCCTCGAACTCGAAAAAAAATGTCAAATAAGGTCATATTTAGGATGCTCTGTCCGGCCGACGCCATTTGGGGTGGTTCCCGATGGAATTTTTTGATGAAATTTTTTGAGCATCTTCCTCATTAAGTCTAGTTTACTCATACCAAATTTCACCTAAAAATGTAACCGGGAAGGTAGTCAAATGATTTTCCGAAATGTACGGGGTTGTTTAACTTCACAATTATCTTCAAAAAATCATTTGACTACCTTCCCGGTTGAATTTTTAGCTGAAATTTGGTATGGGTAAACTAGACTTAATGAGGAAGATGCTCAAAAAAATTCATCAAAAAATGGCATCTGGAACCGCCCCAAATGGCGTCGGCCGGACAGAGCATCCTAAATATGACCTTATTTGACATTTTTTTTCGAGTTCGAGGCCCTATCTGACCCTTATCCCTAAAAAATAAAGAAATTAAGAGTATTCAGAAATCTTATAAAAGTTCATACCAATTTGAAACATAATGTAATAATAATATAAAGTAGTACAAATGTAAAAATAGGTAAATAATTCAAGAAATTAAAATAAAAAAAATAAGAAATCAGAAAACTAAAAAATAAAGTGAAAATGTAAAAAAATATAAAATATAAAAAGTAAAAACATATGGAGTATTAAATAGATATATTAAATTAAGTTATTGGGGGTCAATGGTACAACGTATATGTAATTTACCGAAGTTTTCATGAATAATAATTATAAATTTATGATTTAATTTATAATATATTAAACATAGTTACTTATATATTTAATAATTATATTATAATATATAGATTGTATATACTACGTATATTAAAACGGACCGGAACCTATGTAAGTATGTAGTGCATGAGTTGATCAACATACCAAATGCATATATGAACATAAAGAAAATGCATATATGAACATGAATACGGAGTGATTATTATAATAATCTATTTATGAAAAGTAAGACCTAACTTTCCAAATAGATGAATACTAATAATTACTACTTATGAAAGAATGAAACGGCAATTATGTAATGACATGTGGCTAATAGTAGTTCAATGAGTGACACATGACAATGATACATAATATAATGACACATGTCAATGTGACCTCCAATTGTATAATATATAGATATAGATATAGATTTAATAGCTGACAACAAAGGAAAACTTTGGAACATCGATGGTACGTTTATGTGACTAATGCGAGAACGTAATTTAAATGAACGGTAGCTAGTAGTTTAGTACTAACTATGTGTATTTTATAACTATTAAAGTTTGGTCTGGTCTGGAACTGAAAACAGTCCAAAAGAAAACATCCTAATTCCTACTCGTATATACGGAGTAGACCTGCACTCATATGCCTAGTTAGCTTTTTTCCGTTTTAAACGCGTTTTAAACACGTACCGTTTTTTTGAGTAAAAAAACACGTTTAAAACGAAAAATAATGTCGGTCCGTTTAAAAAGGAAAAAAACTCCTACTTCCCGTATAAAACGTATTTTTCCCGTATTTTACAAAAAACAGAAACATGAATTGATCAATTAAACGAATGCATTAAATGCATAGAAGATCAACAATAGTTTAAAAGTAGAAATGAAAACACTCTCCTCGTGATCCCGTGTTTTTGTATTGTTAATTACAATACAATTATTAATCACTAAAATTAATTGCATGACGGTTAAAGCTAGCATCCTAAAGACTAAAACTTAAAACACTACTCCCTCCGTCCTTAATAGTTCTTTCATAGTACAAATGACACACATATTAAGAAAGTGGGTATTGTGTTGTGGAGAGTTGTGCAAAAGATAAATAAATGTGTAAGAAATGTTGTGAATCACTAATTCATTACCAAAAAAGGAAAGTGGAAGTTCTTTTGATATGAATGAAAAAGGAAAGTTGAAAGTTCTTTCAGGGACGGAGGGAGTACTAGATTTCTGATGTTTTTTCAAACAAGCTTATCAAAATTAAGGTTTTTCTAAACTGGACATTTTTTAGTATAAACTTTTACACAAACAATAATAAGCGTAGCAATTGCACAACTTTTCTCATATGTCATCCGTCATTTTGATGAAAATTATGAGTATAACTTGAGTGTTATTTGATGATAATAGAAAGATAATGATTTTAACTTAGTCTCATTCTATTGTTATTATGCCTTATTTTTTGACGTCATTTTGCAAAATTATGTCTTGGACTTGCACCAAGAGGCTCTCCAGTAGAATTACGAATTATGTTTAGGTAGCAATGGAATTTGCCTCCTTGTCCTGGAGGCTCTCCGGTAGAATTACGAATTATTTTTATGTAGTAATGGAATTTGCTACATGAATATGTGTACTTTTATTTCTTTTTACTATATATGTTGTTTTATATAAAGTATATACTTTAAATGTTCAAAATAATGCCCCGTATTTTTTGTCCGAATTTTTGTAACCGATGACGTATTATACACGTATACGTATTTACACGTTTTATAAAAGTCAACGTTTTTTTCAACGAATTTTTGACCGTTTTTTTCATTCATGTTACCGAATAAAACGCGAACGTATTAAACCTCGTTTAATTCCCGTACCGTATTTAACTAACTAGGCTCATATGGGCTCGGGCTCGATTTTTTCTAAGCACATGTCCAAACCGTCCATAAAAGTAGTCCGGATAATCTACTGGGCTGCCCGGCTTAAGAGAACTTTAAAATTTTCAAATTATTAATATTGCAACGTTTTGAAAATTATTAATGTGTTTATAGTGTTTGTAGGTTTCTCGCCACATACATAGAAGATATTTGCTACAATTTTTTAGAATTAATGAGATCCCTTTATGTGAGATTGTACTAAAAGTAGGCTTGTTTTTTGCACCGGTCCTTTCTCTTACATCAAATGCAATTATCTAAGTTCTTTTTTAATTAGAAGGGTAATGTAACGTAACTGTGTATTCAAATAAAACTATGAGAATTAATTCAGAAGAGAAGGCAATAATATGTAATATGAAGCATATTTATAAATTATACGGAGTGATAGAGTATCATTCAAGCCAGTCATTCTGGAAGTCAATTATGTAGTACTCCGTATGAGATATTGAGATATACTCCATTAGGTTACGTAACTTATGTTGTTATGATTGTAAATTAGGAGCATACGCAATTACGCATCCAAAAGCAAGGCCGGGTACCGTGCTTATAACTTATAAGAGATAATCCGTATAATTGTTTGTTTTAGTTGTTTAATTACAATATCTTGATTATTTTTAATTTATATGGTCAACGTATGATAGATTTTACAGTATAATTTGCCGAAATGATTGGATATATATACACAAACGCGGTTTAATTATGATGTTTTCTTTTGGACTATTTTCAGTCCCAAATCAGACCAGACCAGATCAGACCAAACTTGGCTTCTGTAATTATAAAATACACAGAGACCAGACCAACAAATTTAAGTCCAAAAGAAAACATCCTAAGGATTAGATCGAAGCCTTCAATATTCAATTGATCAATTCCTCGTGGTCGCAGGTCCGATCCGTCGCCTTTTCATGAAAGTAACCGTTCGGACATCGAATTTGATGTTCCTTGATTATTTGCTCCTCCTTATACGTACGGTAACGAATAATACCATCGAGAATTTGTATTCCGCCGCCGCCGCTCATTAGCTTATTGCTCTCTGCAATGGTAAACGGATGATTCATCCCATTTTGCACATGTGGCGACGCCCCATGTTGGTAGTCAACTGAGCTGCCGTAACATTGTTCTTTGCTTTGTTGGTCGGAGTTTACCTGCTTGAAAGCATCGCTACTATATCCCGCATGCCGCATATTGTCATCAATGAAGTGACGACCATTGCCGCGGCCACCGCCGATGTGAGGGATAGGCTGCGGGTTGCCAACTCCCGCCACCGCCACCGTGTCGTACTGCAGTGTTTGGGCCGACGACATATAATAGTTAAAAGAAATTGTTCAAAATAGGACTAAAGTATAAACACAATTTTAAAATAGGGATAATAAGTATGTATGATTTAAAATTTTCTGTAATAGTTAAAAGTAAATACTACCTCCGTTGGTTGTCCACTTTCAATTTGGCACGATTATTAATGGGAAAGTTCCCGAAATAGGACTAAAAGAGTTTGAAAATTCCAAAATAGGACTGACATGTTTTTATTCCCAAAATAGGAGTAATTACTGTCAAGTTTCGAAAATACTGCCATGTTTGAAGTCTGGTACTGCCAAAATATGTCAGTAATTAGTCCTATTTTGGGAATAAAAACATGGTAGTACTATTTTGGAATTTTCTAGTTCTTTTAGTCCTGTTTTGGGTAATATTTCCTTATATTAATAAAGTGGTTGAAAAGTAAAAGTTGTGGTTGAGATTTGAGTAGAATAAAGTGAATTGATAAGAACCACATATTTCATCCAAAAAAGGAAACAAGACATTCATTTTGGACAACCCAAAAAGGAAAGTAGGACAACCAAAATGGGACGGAGAGAGTATTTGGATTGGAAGTAGGGTTGGGCTCCTCACCAAGTGAATGCTCCTAGATGAGCCTTCCTCCGAGTATTTGGCTGGTTGGTTCTTCTTGCCAGCATTACGGAACGTGATGCCACTTTGAAGAACCATTTTTGACGTTTTTTTTTCTTCCTTCGAATTATACAGAGATCTAATTTTGGTGAATTTATAAGGTTGGTACGTACTTGGATACCTAAAGAAGACGAGAATGAAAGAGACTTCTTTGCTAATTATTCTTCTCATTAATTGATGCTCCATTGACTGGTCGTAATATTATACAAACACCCACCTAAGCTTATACATTTGGTATATATTCTTCTAGGAAATAAAATTCCCAATTTAATTACTTTAATAGTATGTCAAACCTAGGGGCTGAACACAGATCTGAGATTTCTCGTTCCGTACCGAGAACCGTCCCGAACTGTACCAGAACCGAGCGTACCGAACATTTTAATAATATGGTATGGTACCGGTTCTTAGTGAGAACCGTCCCAAAACCATATTGAACCATACCGTCCCAAAACGTCCCATAATGTCCCAAAATAATCGCTATAGAAAATAGTATATTAAGAAGTACTCCCTCCGTTCCTAAAAATTCTTCCCGGTTTGAATTGGCACGCCTATTAAGAAAGTGGAATAAAGTGGAAATGTGTGGTTGTGGTTGTGTGAGAAAAAGGTAAAATGAATGTGAGCCACACAAATTGTCCAAAAAGGGAAAGTGGGAAGAATTTTTGGGAACGGCCCAAAAAGGAAAGTGAGAAGTATTTTTGGGAACGGAGGGAGTATATTATATATTGGTATTATATTAGTTTATTAATCTACATTTTGATTACTCAAAACTTTGGATCCCAATACAATTATACTAAATTTTAAGGAACACTTAAACATACGGGTACTAGTAAAGTAGTAATAACTATGAGGAAAGAAAAGGTCAAATAAGGCATTCTACTATTACGAAATCATCACATAATTAAGGTCATGTACTCAAATAAAGAAAAAGGTCATGTACTCAATAAAGTGTCATATAAATACGTCTACTTATAAAAAGCAATTGAATGAGTCAAAACGGCCCGTTGACAACCTCCTAATCCCGATTTTAGCTGGTGCATTGTTATTTTTGCCTTGTATTTAAGCCAACCCTGGCCAAATATTTCACGTCAACCTTATAACCTATTTTAAAAAGATAGCCAAACATACGTTGAAACAGGGATATGATTACGAGGTTGTCAATATAGGTCATTAGGACTCATCCGATTACTTTTCATAAGTAGACGTACTTATATGACACTTTATTAGTACATGACCTTATGCGATAATTTCATAATAGTAGAAGACCTCATTTGACCTTTTTCTCTAACTATTATAAGGAACACACTTAAACCTAGTTAGTATTATGTCAGCGACCTCTTCTCTACTACTCTACATCCTTCCGACCTTGTCGCCACTCGTCATTCTCCAACCACATCCCTCCCATGTCAGTATTCCTCCTCGATTGGGCTCACCTACAAGTCTACAACCATATTTTGTAGAGGTAATCTTCATTTATTCCTTTCCAATTGATTTTAAGGAGTGATTGTAAACTTTAATTCGCAGAAGCTATGTATAGAGTGTTTGGGTGCAATAATAGTGTGTTTTTTTTTTTTTTTTGAAAAAGTGGAAATTAATCAATCAAGAACTAGCTATGATAAAACCTAGATTATTTTTTACTTTGTGGAGTTAATTATTTAGCAAATGAATAGTATCGAAGAACCGTTCCAATCCGTACCGAACCGTACTGAATATTGGTACATAACGGGACATGTTCTATACATATTCGGAACGGTACTGGCTCTTTGATTTTCAAAGAACCATACTTTAGGACGTGACATGTTTTTTTAAATAACCATCTCGTACCGTCTCATGCTCACCCCTAGTCAAACCAATAAATAGTTATAACTACAATATAATCTCACTAGTCATGTTTAAAGTTTAAATTAACGACCTAAAGTCTCGATGGACATTAAAATAACCCTAAAATGATAAGGAGTATATATAAACTTATTTCCCAAATGAATGCACTTCACAAGAATACTTTTAAAACTATTAAGTGTTCAAGGATATTTTTTTTAAAGAAATTAAAACTGGGAACGTCACAAGGGATTGAACCTCGATCAGCGGCTAAGAATTCCTTTTAATTTGTACCAATAGCCATTAAACTGGTGCCTTTAGATGGCATCTAGTCTCTTTATACTCCGTAACTTATTAGACTCCAATGTTAATTGCAAGCATAAACTAAATTTAACATATGACGTGCACTTTGTCGTGGTGTACACTCAAAATAATAATACAATACAACAATTATACGTAGTATAACGAAGTAAGGTTCGTATCCACAGGAAAAAGAATACTTCTCTCTTTATAAGCTAGTAACAAGGGGGGTTTGGATTGAGTGGATAAACTTAAATTATATTCAAACACGAAGATGAACGAGTTATGTGGTTTACTTAATAAGAAGAAGACTTGGCTTTGCTTTTATCCACTTAATGAAATGTTCGTCGATCCCGGTTATATCTTTAACTATCTTCCTCTCGAATACTCAATCGAGGAGTATATCCAGATCATCGAGGGTAGCTATTAATAACGAGATGCGTTCATTAATAAAACTTACTATCGAGTCAATATAGAACAAGCGCCGTATATTAACTTGATAGTAGCAATAAACTTAAGATGAAAACGATTGAGATTGATAACCTCAACACAAGCGGTTTATTGGTTTAATCAATATAATTAATTCCTCTTGACTTATTAACCATGAGAAGCATGCATTAACACCCCAAGTTTACTACCATTGAAAGAACCGAATTAATAACAAGCGTATTAACCGATTGATTCTAGTAATAATTAATATATGAAACAAAACTAATTGATCCTTTAAGTAATGCTCAAAATATTAATATGGAATATGAATATGAAATAATTAATATTCAAGGAAGAAGATTAAAGGAAATAACTCACAACTTACAAATCATTAAACTTCAAAGTAGCAAAACCAAGATGGAAGAGTTTAGCTCCTCATTTGGAGACTAAACATGATGAAAAATATAAAGAAAGAACTTGTCTAAACTGAGCTAAGAAGTATATGTGAATTGGTGATCTTATTGTGAAGGAAAAGGGGTGTATTTATAGGTGTTTGGAGGTAGCAGGGTGGTGTACCCGACCGGGTATATAGGGTACTCGATCGGGTATTTTAGACAGTTTCCCGGAAAATCACTTTTCTAGACATACCCTATCGGGTATGAAGGCATACCCGATCGGGTATGAGCCAAATCTTCAAAATCCTGCATGTTTTTTTGTCTCTCCAGATCTCTCCAGATTCTGATTTTGACACCCGAATCAACTCAATACTCGATCGGGTATTGCCTATACCTGACCGGGTATATGAAATATTTTTTCAATCTTCTTTTGATCTTGTCCCCTCGCACTTTCCTTGATCTTTTGGGGTCCAAACTTGATCCTTTGGATGATCTTGACCTGTTTTAAGCTCAGAATAATCCTAATCTAAACAAATTACATCTATCTAAGAAAATTAACTAATTACACCAAAAGTGTGTAATTTTCCAAACAACAACAAATAAAACTAGTTAAAATAGAAATAATACATGATAAAAATACAACTCTATCAACATATTTCTATATTATACACCATAGTCATCAACAATCAAAATATAAAGGATTAATCACAATTTATTGGTTTAAAACTTTTATCAAACACGCTGGCAGCTGAAAAAAAAAAAAAAAAAAAAAAAAAAAAAACTTTTATCAAACACATAGTGGGTATAGAGGTTTATCCCTAGCCTTAGTTAAGAAACCAGCCTCTAATGATCATATTAATCACAATAAAATATTGAAATGTAATGGAACATGAAATTACAAAGGAAATAATACCTAAACACCAATGATTTCGGAGGATGAACTTCCTTCCTCAAGAACTTGAAGAAAAATAGCAAGAACAAAATATAAAAGCTAGGAATTAATCTATGGAATGAAATTATTATGTTTGATGAATTGAGGGCTTTATATAGGCTAAAGAATGACATCTTTTAGTCTATTCGAGCCCAACAATCAGGTATGGAGCAATATTTGATTAAACAATGAGGAAATGAAGTTTTCTCATAAAAATCCTCTTGCATGCATGTCGTTGTGTTTAAGCAGAATCGGCCCCCAGAAAAAAACAGGATAAAATATGTGAAAAAAACCTTTCGACCGACGCCAGTCCTAGACTGAACGGTGCCGGTTGCTGCGCCCAAAAAAGCGCTTCATTTCTCTTCCTCCGAAATGGATCCAGAAGTGTTGGTTTTCGCCTCGGGATTTTGGGGATGTTCCGCTACGAATTTGGACATGATTCCTTCACCAAAGTTGTAGATAAAGAAGTCTTATATCCACCAAAACTTGAATGACATGATTTTATTCATCCAACCAAAAGATATGGATAAAACATTGAGAGGTATGCATCCTGAAATCCCTTCAACAACATATGAGTTTATTGGTTGATTGAGTCTCGATCCTTTCATATTCTGGCCATGGTGTCTGCACAACATTTGTAGATCATTGAGTTTTTATTAACATGAATTTCGAATCGAGTCATTTGGAATTCCCTACAATACGTTATACTCAAATTATGGGCAGAACGTCATCCTCTTGGTCCCAAAAGCCGTTCATCACAACGTTTTATGCTTTAGCTCTCATTCTAAAAGTATTTGTCCGATTTCTCTTTGTTCAACAAAATGCTTATAAATACTTATGTTAAGCACAAGTAAATATAACGGCTACCAAATCCCCCCACACTTGAGCATTGCTTGTACTCAAGCAATTTCTTTGTATTGAGGTACAATTAGAGAAGAAACAAAACCATGCAAATTAAGAGTTTAATAAGATGATAAAAATTCAATATAAACACTCTAATCTCTCTCCGGCCGAAAACCTTTTTCTATTACTCACGATAAATGAATTTAAGATTAAGAATAATATTTAAACACTGTGATAATTTTGTGATAATTTAGGCAATGTGTGGGTACGTCGGTGTTATTTTTTTTTTGCGGATCGACAACTTGAGTTTGTAGAGAAGGCTATTCTAGGAGAATATGAGTTTGTGTTTTTTATTTTTTATTTTTGCTTTTGTATATAAACTCCTTTTTTTGTTCTCCGTAATTAAATATCTGGATTGTCATAAATGAGGAGAATCCAACAATATTTACTACTACATTTTTGGGTTTTTCATACAAAGCCTATTTGTAGGGAAATATCATATTTTGTAGGTAGAACATTTTGTAGACAAAATAAATTTGTGGCTATGTTTGTAGGGAAATCATCGTAGCGAAAAATATAACTCGAAAAAATTTATAACTTTGTCTACAAAAGTTTATGCACACGAAACTTTTCTAGACAAATAAAATTTGTCTTCCAAGCACTTTTACCTCAACATTGTTTGTAGGCTCAAGATATTTTTTCCAACAATAATTTGTTGTATGGAAAAACTTGTATAGATAAAACATATTTTTCTCTACGAATATGTTTTTGTAGTGAACTGAAGAATGTTCAAAAATGCTCCCACAAATTATAGGTCCTACAAATGATTTTTTCCAGCAACAAATATCTTTAGACTACAAAATAGTCTAAAGATACATTTTAGACTAAAAATCTGGAACATACTCAACTTCGTAAGGTACATTTCAAGCAAAGGATGTGCATAATACAGTTTAACAACTTCATATCAAACTAAATCTTTATCATTGAGTGCTACTGTGCTAATACCATTCAAAAATTAAAAAACACTTCAACTGAAAGTGAAACGTCAAATAAATGAATAACAAATGTGCTGGTTGATCTAGATGCCCTTAAAAAATAACCTAATAATATCATATGAAGTTTAACTAATCATCCAAGAGCGTGTGAGCCTCATCTTCTCCATCATCTTCAAGCGCAATGGAGTGAATTATAACAACACCTACTTGCAGTAAAGATTGATGCCAAGATTTAAAAGTAGAGTTGAACTTTTGCCCAACATTTTTCAAGGTGCTTTGCATTCTCTGTCCAATATCTATTATATTCGAGCCGCATTAGCAGCCTTTCGCGCCACTCGTTCCAGCTCCAACTCTTTTGGTTGTTGTCACTGAATATCGAAGATGGCCATCTCCAAGACCACAAATCCGATGACCCAGGGGGAAAAAGTGTCATCTTCAGCAATGTAACCTGTAAAAACCACCCCACCAAACCCTTCATGAACAGCCAGTTTATTGCTTCTGGGCTAAACCTTCCCTGAAGACCCAATGATAAACCAGCAAGAACAACATAGGTGCCCAATACCATAAAGGGTATGTACAAATCTGGAGCATTTATGTCATAAATTGGGGGCTCTGTTGATATGAAGATATTATTCTTTCACAATCATAAGATGCTAGAGTTGATATTAAAATTTTACAACTATTAATAAGCAACAAGATTATTGACCATAGTGCATTTGTAATTACCGTGAAGATTTGGATTGAAGGAAGCTCTGTTGATATGAAGATATTATCCTTTCTCCCTGTGACAAAAAAATGATTAAAAGTTAACATAGTGATAATTAATCAATTCTGTACATCACATTTCTGAGACCATGAAAAATTAAACAAATAATAATAAATTTCTGAAAATATAAACAGGTAGTAGATAATTAGAATTACTCACAAGAAGTTAAATAACACAACTAATTAATGGTGGGCAGTTTACTATAGTGACCGTAAAAATCTATCAAATATTTGGTGGATGCATGTGAGACATGATAAATAAATCAATATAATACTATTACAATTTACAACCCCTCAAAAGAGTCATGTTTTTGATACTTTTTATCCTAGGAATTTCAATAAATTTTCTATAGAAAAAATGAATTTCAATAAGTAAAATTAAAAACATTTAAATTATTAGTAGAACCAATTAAAAATACGAACATATCAGATTATTCCAAGGTGAAAAACCACTTCTAGCATCAACTTAAGTAATTTCTTTTCCTCTCTAACACCAATTCAAGATCATATTTTTTAATAAAAAATTATTACAAAAAGGATGTGAAAGCAGGGTGGTGACAGACCATATCCTTCTAGCAGATGGCATACCCTCTAAACAGCAAAAAAAATGCTTTAAGGCCAAATGTTCAAAAGCTATATAAGAGTAATCTGGACGGTCATTGAACGCAGCAGTCCAAGTCTCCAAAAAAAATTAAACTGCAAAATGGCAAATATGAGAACTCATATGTATTATAAAAGCATAAACTTTGTGAGATTAGCTTAATAAGCCCAAGTACGGGCAGTTAGTATCTAAGCCATAAGCTTTCCACCCATGTTGTAATCAAAATTAAAACTTTCCTCTTGCCTAGTTTAAAACATGGTAAAGCTTACAAGGAGAATGTACATGTATATATACCTCAGTATAATTATATTGAATACACTTTTTACTCGGGACTTTTATCAAACACATTGGGGCTAAAGTTCTTCGAGACTTCGACAAAGAAGAGCAATCAAAAAATAAGAATATGTTTTCAATCATTAGAAATCAATGGCAAATAATTTGTTGTTGAGAGATACATAATCGAAGAGTATTAAAAGAGGCATCGAATATAATCTCAATAAGAAGGGCAAATACTCTTGCAAATTATTCAAATATGAAAGCAATTGAGAGATACACAATCAAGGTGATTAATATCAAACCTAAACTGAATTGTAAGCTCAATTTTAAACATTGAAAGAAGCATCAATCGTTGGTTAAGGATAGTGAAAAATATATGGATAAATTGTACCTAAAATTGGAGGTTGAGATTCAAGATCTGACTTCTTAGGATGAAGGAGAACGTTTGAAGCGGAACATACGAAACCGAAAAACATAGGAGAGTTGTTCGTGCGTTTTAGGGCAGGAATTCGGAGACAGTTAATTCACCTTGCGCGCTAACTTTTTGAGTTTTGGGTAGGAAGAGAGCGCTCCAGAAGTTTTTGTTTGGGCGGAAATTGGAAAAACTTGGCCGCGCTGGAGTCTTTGACGTTCTTTCCCTGGCGCCCTCGAATGTAGAAATTCTACAAAGTAAAATTTAAATGATTTGGCCCCTAATTTCTAGTGCGTAGTGCGCGTACCTTCCCTGGCATGTAGCTTAGTTTTTTTTTGTTGACAGATTGTAGCTTAGATCTAATAATAATAATAATAATAATAATAATAATAATAATAATAATAATAATAATAATAATAATAATGTGTATGTAACTATGTATTATTCAAAGTGAATGTCATCCAATAATATTGAAATTGGTTGAATTGGTTGATTCTACTGAAATTTATGAAGTTCTGGTCGAAGTGATTGTATTGATGGATTACGGTGATTTGTGAAATATATACATATAATAATTGTTATATACATATAATAATTGTTATTAATAAATAAAATGAAACATATATGAAAAATAGCTAAAATGATCATCTACAATAACTTCATCTAATAGAGATTAGAGACCGGAAAGTAACTACAAACTTATTTTTTCTTATTATTGCACAATTCAGCGTGCGAAATCCAAAGTTGTATGACTAGTGAAAAAGATAACCGGTAAATCTAATAAACTGAAAAAGGGGTTCACCAAATAGGGTCTTAATTTGAGATTTGAAAGAGTTTTTGTTGTTGGCTGTGTGTACTTGTAAACTTTACTAGAGATGGCAATTGTGACCGATCCGATGGATACCCGTACCGAACCGTCCCGGTCAAAATAGGAAAAACCGCATTGACCAGGTAACGGGTATGGGGCGGGGAATACCCGTTTTGTTTTTACGGGTAACGGGGCGGTTACGATTACCAGCCCCGTACCCGTCCCGTTTATTTTTAGCTATATATTTATTACTCGTACATTCTAATCTATTATTTGTCCCAAAACTACTAAAAGATAAGAATTTTCTATTTTCGTTGTGTATATATGAATAATAGATGTACTAACTATAATGTATGAATGAAAGTTTTTAATAGAGCTTAATAGTCTGGTTTCACTATTATTGGATTTTTTCATGATTATTAGTGTTTAGATTAAGTATTTTTTTGGTTGCCTTCTTTCTCGTTTTTTAGATATGCGAAACTGTAAAGTGGCGTTTGAGTCTAGAGTTGTATAGGTGATGTCATTTTCCTCTCTTTAAAATAAATATTATTCTTATATTAAAATATCAATGATTAATTTAATATAAAGATTACCCGGGGTTATACGCGTTACCCATTGTGGTGGTTATGGTTTGGGTAAAAATTTCCCATTGGGTAATGGGGCGGTTATGGAGCGGGTAATTACCGAATGGGACGAATATGGTTATATGTAAAACTGTTCCCGATCCGCCCCGTTGTCATCCCTAAACTTTACCATTTCTCTTATTTCAATTCTTCACTTTTCATTTATAAAAGTGAATATTTTTACTTTTTTAATTTGATAGATCACATAGAAATTAAATATGAACCACAAAACAATTATTTTGTTTGCAAAAGGAGCTTTGTGGACATAATTATTTTGTATGGAAAACAAATATCTGTAGTTAAAAGAATGCGTCCACGAATAATTTATTTTGTCGTGACAAAATTCATTAGACTACAAATCTAATTTGTATGCAAAGCATGTTTGTAGGGAAAAGGCTAGCCCCACAAAATAATTTCTCGTCTAGGAAAGCAATTTATGCCGACGAAAATAATTTGTATGGAAAAAAATATTTATAGTCAAAGCAATATGCCCACAAATGATTTATTTTGTCGTAAAAAGACACTTTAGACTACAAATTTAACTTTGTATGCCCAAATTTTTTAGGCAAAGCATGATTTTCTAGTAGTGATAGTGTGATTTGAAATTGGGATGAAACCATGAATTTGCACTCTATGCACATTTGTATGGATTTGAAAAATTGTAACAAATTTGAGTGAAAGAGGTGGTTTCAAGATTAAGAAATATTTTAATTAATCTAACATGACATTATATTGTGAGTAAAATAATTGAAAATCTTTCTCAACCAAAACCCTTATGGATACAGAAGATGTACAACTCTTATTCGACGTGGGATGAACCTCACATCCGATGGTCACCAAAAGCCGCTCAAAAAGACCCCAAAATGAAACAGACCACTTCCTTTATCCAGTTGACGAGAGGTTTGACTCCCCACAGAAACTAGGAGTAGCTCTCAAGCGGTTTAAATTAGCTAAGCCGGATGCAAAAATTTACCAAGCCTATCTGCAACGAGCAATCAAGTTCCACAATAAATATAACAGATCTATATCTGCTTCACTTGGAATTCCCTCAAAAAAATTTAATTGCTGATATAATTTAAGTTCCCTGTTTTGCTTTACCGTTGTACTCTCAAACTTTATTCTAATAAATTTGGGAGGTGTTCTCCGCCACCCCTAACCTTGTGTGGTTGAACCGGGAAAAAAAATAAAAACCTTAAAAGAGAGAGTATCAAAAATTTTATCCTTCCTAGAAAAATTTTATTTGCAAAGAATTTTTTTTCAACTAATTATTCACCCCCCACACTTCATTTATATTGTCCTCAATGTAGATTGGAGAATGTAATGCAAGATGAGATCTTCAATAGTGGAATGAGATGTCTTTGAGGGAAGGAAATGCATGATACCTGAGCTGAGATCGATGAATGATAAGACGAATCGTCCCTCCTTCCCGGGACGAGTGTTTCTAGTAGGGCCTCCTTCATGGCTGTCCTGGCTGCTCAACTTGCCGAGACACATACTCCCTTCGGGAATCGTCTGTGTCGGTACGTCTGTGCTAGTATGTCTCATGGGGAGCCTACCCGCTACCCGGTCGATGGGAGTGATGAGACGAATCGTCCCCTCTTTCAATTCCTGGGATGAGTGTTGCCGGGAGGGCCTCCTTCCTGACTTTCATGACTGCTCAACTTGCCATGACACATACTCCCTTCTAGATCCGTCGGTGCTGGTACTTCTGTGCCAATACGTCTCCTGGGGAGCCAGCCTGCCTACCTGGGTATAACGAGTATTATACCAATATCAAATGAGCTTACATAATTTATGAAATGAGCATTGAAAAAAATAAAAAATAAAACTCATTTAAAATGTCTACTATTCTCAAAATTTCTTTTGCGTAAGTTCATACCTGTAAAACAATGTGTAACTTAGATTTCTCCTAATCTAGAGCAAACAAGTGACCAAACTCACCAAAAAGAGAAAAAAGAAAATAGTGCAAAAAAGGACGAATCCAACTAGTGCTATACATATGCCAGAGCCGCCGTCTACCCAAGCGGGGGAGTCCGAAATCTAAGGTGCTGCGTTCAGTCAGGAATCTGGCGAGTCATTTTGTGAATGACGACGAGCGACGAGCATTAGGTGAACAACGAAGTGCGAACAAGGATCTGCAATGGAAGCTAGAGATCGATTTGCGAACTAAAAGCCCGACTTTACTTTGCGCACGGTACAACCGACGTTATGATATAATTTGCATGTTCCACCTCCCCATCATATCATGGTGTATCGATCGCTTCCTATATGTAGGCAATTCAAATACTCCTCCGCTCCCCTATATTTGTCCCATTTTTCCATTTTGGAGTATTACTTTATATTCACTTTATCAACTCATTAACAACCACATAATTTTACTTTTCTTAAAAACCACACAAGTCTCTTTCGTCCCAATAATAGAGGGTGGGAGCTAGGTAGTATATAATGACAATAATATCTTTCATTCCTTATTAGTAAAAAATTTTTTAAAAAATCATATTTTGAAAATTTAGAATGAGAAGAATTTAACAATATTTTTTAAAAAATTAATTTATAATATATAAATTAATAAAATATAATATGTAAATAGTGCAAAAAAATTCAATGTTACATTTAAAAGAGAACTAGTATATATCATTATTCCATTCTTAGAAACGGGAGGAACACAATAAGGGACAAGTCTGTAATAAGCAGCAGCTAGCAAGCTGTGCTTTTTAATTTTGAGTTATCTAAGATCGGTAATACGAAGTATATAAAGATCGATCAGATAGATTCTTATTATACAGTATATATATATATGGACGTGCTTAATTAATTAGGGGAATTATATCATAATGAGGCGATCGATCGATCATTATATGGTTTCAATCATCAATACTCTTCAGTTCCCAGTGGTCGCTCTGCTTTTCCCTGAACAACCCATCTGGACGGCGGCTCATCTGATGACGACTAACACCATCCACAATCTTACCTCCAAAGCCGCCGCCGCCGCCGCCCAGAAACTTATAACAACCCTCTGCAGCTAGAGCGGGATTCAGCTGCTTATTCTTCATCCCTTTCTGCCCATAGTAGGATTCAACTGAGCTGATCACGTGCTGTTTACCGCCGCCAAACCCGTGTTTGTCGCCGCCGCCAAACACGTGTTTGTCGCCGCCAAACCCGTGATCGTCGTGTAAGTTGTGATGTTTGCCGCCGCCGAAACCGTGAACGTCATCGTCATCGTAACAATGTTCTTTGCCGCCACCGTAAGTTTTGGAGAACTCATGGTGCATCTTGTTTTCGTAGTGGTGGTCATAGTGGCCGTCGTCGCCGACGCCGTGGTGCGGGATAGGGCGCGGGTAGCTATGTCCCGGGGCCGCCGCAACGTGGTACTGCGGCGGTTGGGCGGCGGACATAAAGTAGTGGGAGTTGAAATTATTAGGGTTAGGGTTGGGCCTCATCATCTGCATGCTGGAGGAGCCATACCCATCATTGTAGGAATAGTAGTCTTCCTCTTCATGGGAGTAGTTGGCTTGGTTCTTGTACCCATGGCCAGCTTGATGAGGGAACATCATCTCACTTTGGAGAACCATTTTTTGTGGGAAGTTTTGTTTTCTTTCTGTCTAGGGTTTTTGCTAGCTTGATGAGAACATAGAGAGTGATTTTGGTGAATTTATAAGCCTTGTAATTGGATTCCTAGAAGATGAGGATGCTCTTAAATTATTCCTCCACAAATCGATGCCTCATTTAATGGTCATAATACACACACCTAATTAACCTCCACAAATACATATTATTCGCTTTGTTTCTTTTCTTTTTTTAGGAAATATAAGATATGATTCGCAATTACTTATGTGCAAAAAAAGAAAAGATTCGCACTTACTTATATTGAAATATATTAGGCCACATGCATTTGTCACCTCATTGAGACACACTCCTACGTGAATCATATTTCTCTATATGCATGAATATTGCATGGGCCATATTTTGAGATATCCTTCTCTCTCTTATCACACACTATCTTTTGTTGTAATATAAGTATGCATGCATACATACGAACTTGGCAGAATGTAAGAGGAGATTTTCTCCTAATGTTCATCAATATAAATTACTCATTTGATATTTATTCTCAATTTTAACATGGTATCAGAGCCAAAACCTTGAAGATTTCTTTGTTTTCTCAAAATTATTTTTTTACTTTTCTTTCCCTCTCTGCTGCTCAAATTGACATGGCAGAAACAGTATCGCATACTCGCTCTTGGATAATTGATTCCGGAGCTAGTGAACACATCACTTGTGATAGTGATGGCCTTTTTAATGTCCTAACCCATTCCTCTGAACCGGCTGTTCAAATACCCAATGGAGAATTAATACCGGTTTCCGCCATTGGTAGTCTCTATCTGCCTAATGGGTTCTATCTTCAGCGTGTTCTATTCGTTCCGCAGTTCCAATGCAACTTGCTCTCTGCCAGCCGTCTCACTGGTGATCTCAACTGCACGCTCACTTTTTCTTCCAAATTCTGTATTCTGCAGGATTTATCCTCGAAATCACTAATTGGCATGGGTTATTTCCGCAATGGTTTATATTATTTGGATTCATCAAGGGGTGAAAAAGTTGCAATGTCAGCTTCTATTTGTTCTGATTTATGGCACCAACGGTTGGGACACGCCTCAGACGGAAAATTGCAACAGATCACGTTTCTGAAAGGTTTTCAACGGAACGGTAATTCTTGTGATCCTTGCTTACGAGCTAAGCAAACCCGCCTTAGCTTCCCAAAGAGTACAAGTAAGACCACTTGTTGTTTTGAATTAATACATTGTGATATATGGGGAGCTTATAGATGTGACTCTAGTTCCGGAGCGCGTTACTTTTTGTCAATAGTTGATGACTTCACTAGAGGTGTTTGGGTCTATCTTATGAAAAACAAGTCAGAAGTCGGTCAAAAGTTGATACAATTTTGCAATATGGTACAAACTCAATTTGAAAAGAGGGTCAAGCGCATACGTACGGATAACGGAGTTGAGTTTCAAACTAACCTTTTATGTCAATATTATGAACATTGCGGGATTATTTTGGAGACATCATGCACGGATACCCCCCAACAAAATGGGGTTGTGGAACGTAAACACAAACATATTTTGGAAATAGCCAGGGCACTCCGTTTTCAGTCTGGATTGCCTATTGATTTTTGGGGAGAATGCATTCTCACCGCTGTTTATATTATCAACCGATTACCGTCGCCTGTCATTTTAAACAAAAGTCCTTTTGAAGTATTATTTGGGAAGGTACCTAGTTATGAACATTTACGTGTATTTGGTTGTCTGGTATACGCTCACAACAATAAGCGTAAAGACAAATTTGGCGAAAGGGGGAGTCCTTGTATATTTCTTGGATATCCTCACGGACAAAAAGCGTACCGAGTTTTTGATTTACAAAATCAAAATATTTACAGCTCTCGGGACGTGAGTTTTTTTGAAAATGAATTCCCATTTAAATTGATTGATCATGAAGGAAAGGATTTTGGATCCATTGTTCAAGGTGCCTATGAAAAAATAATACGAGGAGATAATTCCAGTAGCCCCATGACTCAACTACATCCACAAAATCCACAAAATAAAGGAGGCCCACACTCCAATCCTTCCACATGCCAAATTCATGCTCCAGTAGACACATGCGACCCTTTCTCTGTAGAATCAACAGCCCCATCCCTTCCCTCATGCAGAATCCGACACACAAGCAGAGAGGACTCAGAACAGGACCACACACGTACAGATGCCGGGCCACCTCCTCACGGACTGGTGCCTGAACGGCTACAACTAAGACCTGCCACAAATCACGATCAGTCACTCTCCCCACAAACTAAGAAAGCCCAACCGGACAACCGCAAAAACAACTGCCATATAGATGGCGGGCCCTCTCCTCATCACCACGCACCAGCCGGGCAGTGCCTTGACCGGCCAGATTTTCAGCTTCCCACTTCACCAGTTAGAAATGAGAATTATGAGAGCTTGGATGCACATGGAACTGGTACTAGTAGGACCGACCAATCATCTACCGCTGACCATTCTGGTTCACCGATACCAGGCAGAGCCTTACCTATCGGAAATGAACTGAGGAAAAGTAATAGAATCAGGCAACTTCCTAAGCACCTTGCTGAATTTGATACCGATTTGCCACCATCCATTGACCATTCTCGGTCAACTACCGGTTCTGCCGACTCAGTGGTTTACCCACTTTCTAATTTCATCAATTATGACAGATTTTCTACTAATCATAAGGCTTTTTTGACGGCCATCACTTCCCGTGATGAGCCAAAGCGATTTTCACAGGCAGTTCAAGATCCATTATGGCGTGAAGCCATGCAAAAAGAAATTCATGCTTTAGAAGAAAATGGTACATGGACCCTCATTCACTTACCACCAGGAAAGAAGGTGGTTGACTCTAAATGGGTCTATAAAATCAAGTATAAACCAAATGGCGACATAGAACGTTACAAAGCTCGATTAGTTGCCAAGGGCTTTACCCAAGTTGAAGGAATTGATTTTCACGAGACTTTTGCCCCAGTTGCCAAACTCGTCACTGTACGATGTTTATTGGCCGTTGCAGCAAAACATAATTGGGAGGTGCATCAATTAGATGTTAATAATGCATTTCTTCACGGAGACCTAAATGAGGATGTTTATATGCGTGTGCCACAAGGGTTTGCAAAAAATGGAGACACACGCGTTTGCAAATTACAAAAATCCTTATACGGATTACGTCAGGCCTCCCGCAACTGGTACCATAAATTCACTCAAGCCCTCATTGGGACAGGTTTTCGTCAGTCTCGAGCTGATCACTCTTTGTTTATCTTTCGCCAAGGAAACATCAACACATTTGCTCTTATTTACGTTGATGACGTCCTACTGGTCGGAAATGACGTCTCTCATATTTCTACTGTTAAAAATTACTTGGACATCAAGTTTAGCATCAAAGACTTGGGAAAATTAAAATATTTCCTTGGCATTGAAGTTGCACGTTCTCCGGAAGGATTTGTCCTAAGTCAGCGAAAATACACTCTTGACATCTTGGAGGAATGTGGTTTCTTAGCCAGTCGACCTAGTTCATTTCCCATGGAGCAAAATCTAAAACTTTGTCCCGACGATGATAGTCCACATGTGGATGCTTCTTCCTATAGGCGACTGATTGGTCGTCTGCTATACCTTACAGTCACTCGGCCAGATATTGTTTACTCTGTCAGTCAGCTCAGTCAATTTCTCCATAGCCCCCGACAGACTCATCTGGATGCCGCCAGTCGTGTCCTACGCTACTTAAAACAAACACCTGGTCAGGGCATATTTTTATCTTCTGATAATGACTTCACACTCAAAGGCTATTGTGATGCAGACTGGGCCGGTTGCTCATTCACCCGCCGCTCAAGTACTGGATATTTTATCACCCTTGGCACTTCACCCATATCTTGGCGGACAAAGAAACAATCTGTTGTATCTCGTTCTTCTGCCGAAGCAGAATATCGCGCTATGGCCGTCACAGTTAGTGAAATCTTATGGTTGCGGTGGTTGCTTCAAGATCTTACAATTAACCTCACGGGCCCCACTCCTCTCTATTGTGACAATCAAGCCGCAAGACACATTGCACTTAATCCAGTATTTCATGAACGTACCAAGCATGTAGAGATGGATTGTTATTTTGTTAGGGAAAGAGTTGCTAGTAACGAAATTCAGCCATGTTGCATCTCCACGACAAATCAAGTGGCAGACATCTTTACAAAAGCACTCGGGACTGATCGTTTTCAATTTCTACGGAACAAGTTGGGTGTTCGTAACCTTCACACTCCACCTTGAGGGGGAGTATTGAAATATATTAGGCCACATGCATTTGTCACCTCATTGAGACACACTCCTACGTGAATCATATTTCTCTATATGCATGAATATTGCATGGGCCATATTTTGAGATATCCTTCTCTCTCTTATCACACACTATCTTTTGTTGTAATATAAGTATGCATGCATACATACGAACTTGGCAGAATGTAAGAGGAGATTTTCTCCTAATGTTCATCAATATAAATTACTCATTTGATATTTATTCTCAATTTTAACAACTTATGATAAACCATAAATATGTCTATCTAGAAAGACTACAATATAAACTTATCTTTAAATTATCTAGCTAGCTAGTTATCTTTAAATTATGCGGCTAAACTAGAAAGACTTGAGCAACATTTAAAAAAAGTTTTAAAAAAAAACTTTTTTTTTGAAAAAAAAAAACTTAAATGCTTTATCCTAGCGAATTCAAATGCCTGGCTGTAAAACAAAAAAGTGCAATAACATTGACAGAAGCTGAGGAAGTAGTATACATAGCTAATAAAAGATCCACTAATTAATGGGGTTTTGACATGAATATTAGTAAAACGGAGTTAATAGACAAAAAAGTGTCCTTTTCTTTTAATTTCCAAACATCTGACTAATAAACCTCTATATTGTCTAAACTACCCTTCATAGTTAATTTCCGGTCAGTTAATTTCCGTCAAATTGCAAACCGTGAAACTGCAAGTAGTGCGTAGTACGTTGCATTGCACCGCGGACCAATTCATGCATTCATTGCTTAATACTCCGTAACATTGCAATCATTTTGTATTTGCAAGAACGTACATTGCATTGCAATCTCTAATAATTAATGTTTTTTTTTAATTTGATGTTTTTCCTCAAGCTACATAGTTAAATACTACTTTCATCCTTAAATAAATGCAACATGTTAAATTTTACACTATTCACATGTTGTACTTTGAATACATTTTATTAATTAATGTATTAATATTTTTTTATGAAAAAATATTGTTACTTTTGTCTCATTGTAAATTTTCAAAATCTAATTTTTTTAATTTTTTTACTAATACATAATTATATATATTAATGGTCAAAGTCGTGTCTTGGCAAATGTGAAATGTTGACTGTTGCATTTATTTAAGAACGGAGGAAGTATTTAATTATTACATAAAAATTAGCTTCAGCAATTGTTCCAGTTACAATTGCTCCAATAACTGATTTCCAGTTACTACCGCTCTAGTTACTACCGTCTCAGTTACTACCGCTCCAGTGATCATCATCTCAGTTACTAGCACTCCAGTGACCATCATCTCAGTTACTACCTGTCCAATGACCACCGTCCCAGTTACCACCGCTCCAGTGACCACCATTTCGGTTATTGTCGCTCCAGTGACTAGTATTCCTGTCACTACCGCTCCAGTTAGAGTTACATGATCCGACAAGTTACTGGACCAATTATATTTACATGACCCTAACAATTACACGTTGCGTTATAGTTACTTGACTCGATCAATTACAGTCACCCGACTAATTTCAGTTACCAGACCCGCCAGTTACCTGATCAGTTACAGTTACCTAATCACGTCCAGTCATTACGGCAGGCGATCACCACCGACAACCACCACGTCCGGCACCGCCGGCAACCACCACTGCCATGTCCAGTAAATGTCGGCCCATCCGCTCCCCAGCCCCCTCCCCAACTCTCCAGCCCCCCATTCGGCCACAGCCGGTGAGCAGCACCACCCCATCCCCTCCCCTCCCTCCGCTGGCCACCCCTGCAATCATCTCCTTTCCCCTTCTCCTTGACCAGTACTCCGCACCCTTCCCCTGCGCCTCCCTCCCAACTTCGTAGCCCCCTCTTATCCTCAGATCCCTCCCCTCTCAACCTCCCAGACCCCATCGCCTATCTTCGTCGCCTTCCAGACCCTAGCCACCGGCTTCAATCCAACACCACAACCTTTCACTTTAACCGTGGAGAATAAGGAAGGAGAAGAAGAGTGAAGGAAGGAGACGCAAGCAGCCGGAATCATGGTTTACGAAGGCATCAGTCATGGTTGTCGGCCAGGATTCACTGTCGATTGTTGGGGGAGGGATGAACCGGAGGTTCTGGAGTTGTAAGATGAGCAGGTTTGTAGATCCCAGAGAGAGACGGAAGGAGACGTATGAAAGGGAATTGTGATCTTCAGATAGGGGAGATGGGGTGAAGGGCTGGGGTAATTTTGGGTTATCAGTTAAAATAGCTCTTTTTTTTTTGTCCGAATTTAGATGTTCTCTAATTTTTGTCTTTGCAATACTCTGGGGTAATTTTTCGGTCATTCTTTCCTAATTAATAGTCCCCCGTAGATATAAGCGAAGCGAATATTGTGAAAATATATACCGTAATCCTTGATATCGATGTTTTACTTGTGTTTTTCCTATTCAATTTTGTGGTCCAATATTATTACTTTAGCTTAGGATATATTCTGACCTAGGGTTGGACTGGGCCGGTTCGGCCCAACCCGAGACCCGGGCCGGGCCGGCCCGTTACTCTGCAGTACCGACCCGGTGGGCAGGGACCGGGATCGGGACTGAAGCCCGAACCGGGGCATTTTTCTGGCGGGCTACGGGATGCTGATTTGGTGGACCGGACCGGCCGTTCCGGGACCGCTTCGGGCCCTTTTTCCGCATGGTTGGTTGCTAGGCGGGTGGGGCTGGGTAGTTTGAGGGGGTTTTGGGGGTGGGGGGTAGGAATAAATCAGATCGAAAAACCAATTTTTTTATTAAAAATAAAACTAGACCCGACTTGGGCCCGGCTTGGTCCTAGTACCAACCCGGGCCAGCATCGGGCCTTCGTTCATCCCAAAACCCAATCCCACCCCAATCCCGGCTCGGGCCTGACCCGAGCCACTTACATCCCTATCATGGCCTATTACTCTTTAGGAGCCCAATGCATTGCCCCCATATGAAGCCTAATCAATGTGACACATCTCTGCCCACCAGGCCATTTTTGGCCAATTAGGTCCATTTCGGCCCGGCCAATAGAGTTGTTTTGCACCACCACCCCCCCCCCCCCCCTCCCTTTTCCTATTTATGGGGGCTTTCCCTCATTTAAGGATGCTTAATTTCTTCTCCTTCCTCACTCAACTTAGCTTCTCTCTTAAATGGCTTGTAAACTCCATTAATGAAAGCTTCTGTATAATGTAATTGTGAGGAGAGACTAATAAAATGAGTGATTTGGACATTAGCCTGAAAAGTTCCGTGATTTTTACCTTTTTGAGTTTTCACGTTAAAATCAGGTGTTCATACACTTTCTATACATTTATTTACTATTTCGTGTTGGATTAGTTTCAACATATTTATTTTATTTGAATGAAAATAGGCATAATTGTATTTAAAATTAGGGAAAAATAATTAAAATACCCCAAACTTTAAAGGGGTGTGAGATAAACACCCCAAACTTTCATATGTATTTTAAATACCCCAAACTTAATAAAAAAGTCATTTTAACACCATGGTCATGTATTATTTCTTTCAAAAATGTAGATTTATGGTGTTAATTGCATAATTTAAAATAGCAAATTGAAAATGATGCAATTATATAGAGTGTGTGGGGAGGGGGGGTAGTATTATTTTACAATAGATGTTTAGAATGTAAATTTCATCTTCATGAATGCTAAAAAAACTCAAAATATGTAATTAACACCATAAATTTACATTTTTGAATGAAATAATACATGAACGTGGTGTTAAAATAAATTTTTATATAAAGTTTGGGGTATTTAAAATACATATGCAAGTTTGGGGTGCTTACCTCACACCCCATCAAAGTTTGGGGTATTTTAATTATTTTCCCCTTAAAATTAACGTACACACACATTTAGTCACTGGGCATACAACAAAATAAGGAATAGTGTCATAACAAATTATGTGATCTGAGAGGAACATGTTTGTCTTTGCTATCGTATGGGCTTTAAGATTCACATATCGCTTACAAAGATATATAATACCTATTGTATAGAGTACTAAAAGGAGATTTACAATTTTAGTCCTGTAACTTTCGATTGTTATCATTACTAGTTTTGTAACTTTAATCATTTACAAATGTAGTCCTATAATTAATAAATTTTTACAATTATTTAGAGTGTATGGTTGAAGGGCCGGGGAAAAGATAAGTTTTAAGACTTGATCTCAACAAAGATAGCTGTCATGTACAAGAAACTAGGGTCGCCCCTTTGGAGTTGTGAAAATCGTGTATTTAAAATAGTTTTTGATGTAGTAAAAATATTCTCAATGTATAACAACAATAATGTATAATATGGTTGGTTTCAAGAACACTGAAAATAAAATAAGGAAACAAAGAAGTCCCTCCAAATCTTCCAAATTGGGCACGGCGGGGTTATGACTTATGAGGAGTTTCAAGGATTTTATATATTCCTCCACAACTTTCCT